GGAAAGAGAAAGAGGAGGAGAAATAAGGTTGCAAGAAGGAACAGTTATCAAGACAGCATCAGCATCTACTTTATGCCTAGCATCTTGCTTGGAACATTAGAGAAAGTAGAAGAAATAAGTAAGATGCTGCCCTGCCTGATAGATGACATATTCATCTTCTGTGGCCACCATGAACAGGTAAGCAGTGAGGCTGTGCCTCTAAAGATTCTTGTTTTTTTTTCTCATCAGTGCCTTTTTTCCTCACACAGTTTCCTATAGTTTGTCACATTCAGTCAAATCGGGGACTATCACAACTTACTTTATCACTGTGTCTCCAGCACCTTACCTGATGAGTATTCAAATATTTGTTGAATAATAAATTCGTAAATGAAACAATCACAAATATCTGAGTGGAGATTTGTGGTAGGGAGTCAGATAAGCAGATGGAGAATTTAAAAGTGATCTGGGTGTAGAGGTAAGTTTTAGAATCTATTGGGATTTTGCAGTTTTAATAATTTCTGTCCAAGTGGTGTTTGTACATACTGAAGGCAATGCTGGTACCTCCAATCTAACCTCATTCTCCACTGCCTTTTGTGATGGTCTTTAGTGTTGTTTGACAAATATTCATACTCTTCCCATTAGGGAGATAGGCCATGTAACTAGTCCTAGATGATGAGTTTAAGTGGAAATGAATTAGTCATTTTCAAACAGAACAGTTAACTGGTAACTTAGGTAAGACCCTCTAGAGCTCTGTGTTTTCTTTAGCCACAGTTACCACCACTGTCTTCAAGAGTGAGTAATCTGTCAAACTTGGTCTCTGATGCAGACACAGGCAAATAGAAGAGTGGCCCCCGCTGACCCTCAATGACCCATAATATGAACCAAAAATAAACCTTTGTTGTTCTAAAACTCTGAGATGTTGGTGTTGTTTTACCATGAGATAATGTAGCCTATTTTGATTGACAAGCTTCTCCATGTGAAATATATATATCTATATATGCCTACCCCAAGTTTTCCCATGTCCTCATCCTTGTTCTCTGTGTTCTCCTTACCTGACTTATTCTTTCATTCCTCTCTACTACTAAAATTCTAATCCTTCTTTAAAGACCCAATTTGAGAGAGTCCTACCTTCCTCAAGAACTTCCATGACCAGTTCAGTACTCATAGGTGCTGTTCGTTTCTTATCTATTATTTTGTATGCTAATTTTTCAAGTGGGCACACATCATTTCTCCACTTAAATACAAATGCCTTGAAACCATCTGATTATTCATTGCTTATTATTAATAATTATGCTTATTATTCATTGATTCCCCCCAAACCTCTCTTAACTTGAATGGAATAGATTACCCACAGCCCTGATACATTTATTTATTCAGTCTGACTGCAGATATTTAACAGTGCCTACTGTGTGTGTGGAAGAGTCTACCTAGTTATTAACCACACACTTTTGACTTTCTTTCTGTGCATATAGCTAGACCACATCTCTCAGTCTCTCTTACAGTTACATATAATCATGTGACCGAGTGCAGGCTAATGAAATGTGGGTAGAGTTATACTGAATGAATTCTCTCAGAACATGAAAAGCTCCTTCTTTGACTATCACTTTCTTTCTTTATTTACTTCTAGAACATGCTTAGAATTGACATGCTAATGATAGCAGTGCCTCCTTGAATTGCTGTGTGGAAAAGAGCTACCATCTATCCCTTCCCACCAATCTATCATTTGGACTTTCGAGCGAATAAACTTTTATTGTCATAAGCCATTGAGATTCAGGGTTTTATCTATAATAGCTGCTAGCATTGTCTTAATAAAGAGATTTGAAAGTGAGGGATTGTCATGTTTAACATCAAAGTGAGGAAGTTCTCATTGAGAAGGTAACATCTGAGCAGACTTGTAAGAGCAAGGGAGGGAGCCACATGAATATGAGGAAAAAGAATGGTCCAGGCAGATGCACACTCTATAGTAATAGAGCAGAAGTGTGCCTGGCATGGTCAAGGGACAGTAATTAGCTCCATGTGATTAAAGCAAAGACTGGTAAAAAAAAGTAAATGAGAAGGTGTTGCCAGATTTTTAGGGCTTGAGGCCCTTATAATACTATTCTAGTCACTGGACCTAGTCTTGTCCTTCAAATGCCCATTACCTTCTTTTTTCAAGCCCATGCTAAATCTTATAACTGCCTTTGAATATCTTATACAAAAGTTAACTACAATATAAATGAAATGTCCTGATTATAATCCCCTGTATCACATTTAAAATTTCAAACTCCATTTTAACTTCTTTTGTAGGTATAGCAAAATTCATGTAGGTTCAGAGGAAGGAGTTTGACAGTTTACCAATCCTTATAAATCAGGCCATAGGCACAACTAAGTCCTGACTTTTCTTCAAAATGGGAGAAGAACTTAAAATCACCCCATATTTCACACAAACTCATAGGATATTCGTGACTGCTGTCAGCTAATAGTGCAGTGGGAGGTCAACCTGAGATGTCTCAATATTTTATTTTACTCTGGGATGTGGTCTAACAACTGTCTTTTCGGATGAGCTTCAGGTCAAAAAGATAACTAAATGGCCATTCTTTCATTCTCTAAATATAATTAAGCCATGAGGTTTTCTAGACACAACTATTAGTATGTTCATTTTCTGTCATCTTAATATGGGAATAGCATAAGTTTAAATAGTTTCTTTTACTATGGTAAGAAAATGATCACTAGTAGAATTTCACAAAGAGAAAGTTTACAAAAAGAAAAAGTAGAATACCTAATAAGTATACAGAAATTATTTAATTATCACCATAATAAAAATGTTCTGGGTATATCATTTTTAAAAAAATTACCAAGTTGGTTAAGTTAAAATAAAATAAATCATGAAAATCTGTTTTGACAAAGATATAGGAAAACTTTCTCTATCATACATTAGTGGTATAATGTAAACTAGAAAAAGATGTTAGAGGACAATTTGGCGACATATATTGGAATTCTTAAAAGTATACATTTTTCTTAGTTCTCAAAGGAGGGCCTAGAATTAGTAATACCCTAGCGGCAACAGGCTATTACTCAGTGCCCAGTTCTTGGTTATTAAATACAATTCTCCAGTTAAAGAAATCAGGGCTCCTTGGAGAAATGATTGATTATAGGGCTGAGAATGGAAAATACAAGATAAGAAGCCTGGAGCATCTTGTAGTGCCAGAAAGTAAGAAAGGATAAATAAAAAACATAGGAGCCAGACCGAGAAAGATAAATACTATATGATATCACTTATATGTGGAATCTAGGGGAAAAAAGCCAAACTTACAGAAACAAAAAGTAGCTTGGTGGTTGTCAGGGGCTAGAGGGTGAGGAAAATGTGGAGAGGTTAGTAAAAGAGTACAAATAAGATGAGTAAGGTCTGAGGATCTAATTTATGATATGGTGACTATAGTTGGTTACACTATATTGTATAATTGAAATTTCTTAAGAGAGTAGGTCTTAAACATTCTCACACAAAAAAGTAACTGTGTGAGGCAATGCATGTGCTAATTAACTTGATGGTGAGAATAATTTCACAGTGGATATGTATGTCAAATCATCATGTTGTATACTTTAAATATATTACAATTTTATTGGTCAGTTATACCTCAATAAAGCTAGAAAAAAATTGGAGCCAATCTGAAAGACCTAGCCAAAGCTAGAACAACATAAGAAACAAATAAATTAACATTTTACTTAATTATAACCCAAAGAATAAAATAAACTGTTTTGGGTGTTTTTATTAGTTTAAATAAATTTAATTTAAAAAATTTAAACAGCTACATTAATACATCTGCAAAATGACCTACCTGGTCTATGTTTATACAGACGGTCCTTTGCACATAGGCATCTATAACAGAGATCCCATTTGCCAGCCAATGTTCCTTTCCTCTTCTTCCTTAGGAGCAGGACCACATTTTATTCAGTGCAGCAATGTGCCCAGTTAAAAGATTACATTTCCCATCCACCCCCTTACAGCTAGGTGTGACCACAAGACTGAGTTCCGGCCAGTGATGTGCAAACAGAAGGGAATCATGGTATTCCAGGAACACTGCCTAAAGGGAGCTGACTCAGCTGAAATACACTCTTTTGGCTCTGGCAGGGCCTAGAATAGTATCATAAGGGGAGCACTTGGTCCAAATCACGTAGCCACTCAACAGTGCAGGCAAGACTAGAACTCACATTTCTTCACCCTTGCTTCAGTGATCTTTCCCCTCTTCTGAGCCCTTTTGAAAGGTAATGAACTCGATGAAA